CCCTCGGTATTTGAGTAAGAGAGTGTGCCTCAAATACCTTAAGCAACTCCTTGGCCGCCTCCTTGTATTGCTTCATTCTCCCTTCCCTGGCTTCGTACTCCCCGGAGATTTGGCCGACGACTAACTTGGAGTCGCACTTGACGTGGATTTGTCGGGCCTTCATGTTAGCTGCCAGACGAAGGCCACAGAGGAGAGCCTCATATTCGGCTTCATTGTTGGAGACTTTGAAGGAGAAACGGACTGCATAATAGGCCCGGAAGCCCTCGGGTGAGATGAGAACCACCCCTCCTCCACAAGCCTTGATGGCGGAGGAGCCGTCGATGTAGAGGGTCCACCAATCATCTGAAGGGGCCGAGGGCTCCTCGTCCGTGACTGCCCTTGCCGTACACTCCGTCACGAAGTCCGCTAGGGCTTGGCCCTTAATGGCGGGCCTAGGACGGATGTCGATGTTGTATTGGCTCAAGAAGACAGCCCATTTTACCATTCGGGAGGAGCTGGTGGGGCTCCTCATCAAGGCGCCGAGGGGTTGGTGAGTGAGGACCTGGACCGGGTGAGCCTGGAAGTAATGGCCCAACTTCTTGACGGTCCACACGATAGCCAACACCGTTTTTCCACGGGGGAGTACCGGAGTTTCGCCTCCCTGAGGGTCTTGCTAACATAGAAGATGGCATGCTGGATGCCATCTTCTTCCCGGATGAGTACTGAGTTGATGGCAGCCGGGCTAACACCCAAATAGAGGTACAGGATCTCCCCTACCTTGGGTTTAGAGAGCACATGGGATGAAGATAAGTACCGTTTCACCTCCTCGAATGCCCCCTGACATTCTGAAGTCCACTGGAAACCGGCAGTTTTCCTCATGATTTGGAAGAAGGGCAAGGACTTCTCCGCCGATTTTGATAAGAAGCGATTGAGGGCTGCCAGGCGGCCCGTCAATCGTTGGACCTCCTTTACATTGCGTGGGGGCTCCATGTTGATGATGGCCTGAATTTTCGCGGGGTTGGCCTCGATACCCCATCGGCTCACCATGTAGCCCAAGAATTTGCCCCCTGGACGCCGAAGGTGCACTTCTTTGGGTTCAGCCGAAGGCTGAATTTCTGCATGATGGCGAAGATCTCCCTTAGGTCATCAACATGGCTTGCTGATTGCTTGCTTTTGACGATCATATCGTCAACATATGCCTCCATGGTGCGCCCTAGGACAACTTGGAATACCCTGGCCACCATCCGAGTGTAGGTGGCACCTGAGTTCTTTAGGCCGAAGGCCATGACGAGGTAGCAGAAGATGCCCTCGGGAGTCATGAAGGCTGTTTTTTCGACGTCTTCCTCATGCATGTATATTTGATGATATCCGCGGAATGCGTCGAGGAATGACATGATTTCACACCCCGCAGTTTCATCCACATGTTGATCAATATTTGGCAAAGGAAAGGGGTCCATGGGACACGCCTTGTTGAGATCCGTGTAGTCCACGCACATGCGGAATGAGGGTGGTTTCTGTGCGAGGACCACGTTTGCCAGCCATGAGGGGTATTTTACCTCTTTGATGTGCCTGATGGAGAGGAGCATGGCGACCTCCTTCTTCACAAATTCCCTCCTCTCGGCCGAGAGGGGCCTCCTCCGCTGCTGTACTGGTTTGGCCGAAGGGTCCACCGAGAGGCGGTGGGTGATGACCCTTCGGCTGATCCCCGGCATGTCCTCCGGCCCCCATGCAAAAACAATGGAGTAGGCGCGGAGGGCGCTGATGATGCCGGTCTTCAAATCTTCGGGGAGCTGGGCTCCAATCTTCACGACTCTCTCCGGCTTGGCCGGATCGAGCGCGAAGTCTTCTACCTCCTCGGCTGGTTCTGCCCTTGGCCTCCTCGAGCGCGAAGTCTTCTACGGCTTCGAGATCCTCGAGGGCTGGCCGGCCGTGGATGATGTTGTGGGCGCAGTCGATGTTGACGACGACGAACTCCACTTCGAGCTTGGCTCTATGGAGGCCGTCGCCGAAGATGACCGGGAGGGTTATGACCCCCTCGGAATCAATGGTGTCGCCGGTGAAGCGGGCAAGAGGGGTCTTGATGGGCCGAAGGGACCCCCTCTCTAGATAAAGCTCTCTGAAGGTGCTGAGGTACATTACATTGACGGAGCTGCCCGTGTCAATGTAAGTTCTGTGAATAATGGTGTCGTTGATCTCCGTGCGGATGACGAGGGCATCCCTGTGGGGGGAGGATACTGGGGGGAGATCAGCGTTGGTGAAGATAATGGGTTCCTCCCTCAGCCGCTTTACTGGGGGCATATGAGTGACTTCCCCCACGTAAAGTGATTGAGCCCACTTCTTTCGTTGACTCGTAGAATCACCTCCGGTATTTCCCCCTGTGATCATGAGGATGTGACGCTTCTTTTCTTGGTACCGGGGGTACTCCTCCTCCTCCAAATTTCCAATCTCCCTCTTCTTGGCGAGGGGGATGGTGTTGGGGTTGACCCATGCATTTGCTCTCACGGTCTGCCCTCGGGTAGGCCCTTGGTGAGGGGGGCCCTGTTGCTGAGGGCCCTGGACAAACTCGGACAGTTGGCCCGCTTGTATTAATCTCTCGATGGCCGTCTTCAGCTGATGGCAATCATCGGTCCTGTGCCCCTGGTGTCGGTGGAAACGACAGTAGGGGTAGTTTGGATTGACGGCAAACACTTCCGAGGGCGCGCGTGAATCTCGTTCCACGAGGCCCCTTTCTTCAGCAAAATCCAAAATAACGCTGACGGGATGTGTCAACGGTGTCCGAGGGTGTTCCAGGAGGACAGGCTATGCCCAAGCCCTCGGGTTCCCCTTGTAGCCTCCCCCGGGCTTGGCTTGGCCATGCCGGGGGCGATCACCGGAGGGGGCAGAATCCTTGGGATGATTGCGGGGAGCCCCCGGCCTCCGGTTACCTTTGTCGTCTGGCCGAGGGCGTTGCTGATCTGGGACATGGTGGTGTCTCTCCACCTCCTCGGCCTCGGCGTACCGGTCCCCCCGCTGTAGGGCCCTTATATAATCGCGGGGGGGGTTCAATGATGAGGCTCCTTGAGAAGTTCCCGGGGCGTAGTACTGTTTGTAGGAGTGCCATGAGGGTCCCATCGTCAGCGCCGTCAACTTTATCCGCCTCCGTCCTCCAGTGCTCCAGGAAGTCCCGAAGGGTCTCCTCCTTCTTCTGCCTCACTGTTAACAGGTGGGAGAAGTGTTTTCTTGTGCGGCGCCTCCCCGCAAATTGCGTCAAGAATCGCTGGGCGAGTTCTTGCCATGAGTCAATGCAGCCCTCAGGCAATCGATTGAACCATTCGTAAGCTGGCCCCTCTAGGGTGGAGAGGAACCAATGGCACAAATATTCATCCGATGCCCCCACCATCATCATGCTGTTTTGATACCTGCTGTAGTGCTCTTGGGGGTTAGTCTTTCCGTCATAGGGCTTGATGAGCTGCCCTCGGTATTTTTCCGGGATCCGCGCAGCCAATACCCTTGGGGTAAATGGCGTCCGGGTCCAGAGCTGTATGGTGGGTTCCCCGGAGCCCTCGGCTATTTTCTTCTGCATTTCTTCCATCTTGGCCATCATCGCCTCATACTTGAGGTCTGTATGAGGGGCAGAAGTGGTGGCGTGGGCTTTGGTGGCCTCCATCTCGTCAAGCCGGCGCTGGAGGGCCGCAATGATTTCGTCCCGGGGGTCCTTCGGAAGGGCCTCCGCCCCCTGCGAATGGACCCGGGCCGAGTGGGCCTGGTTGATTTGGTGGCGTGCGTCGTCGACATGGAGAGGTGCCTTGCCCTTGTCCTGAGCGGGACGCCTTTCATTGGCCCTGGAGACGGACCCGCCACTTTCCTGAGGCCTCTGGAACGCCTTCCCCCCGAGGCGGTCTTGGACCCCTCGGCGGTCTTGCGCCCCTCTGAGTCTCTTGAGGGCGGAGGTCCGGAGTTGTTCCTTGTTCACGTTGTGGCGGTCCCGGGACTGGACTTCCTGGGAGGCCGTATCTTGGGCCACGATCCCCTCAGAGTTCCCCATCCAGAGGACCGGGTTACCGAGGGGTCGTGGATGAGGGGGAGGCATTATATTCTCCCCCACCTGAGGTTGGAGGGGAACCAAAGTTCCGAAGGCACCCGGGTTCTGGGTGAGCGTCTGGATGAAGGCGGAGAGCGCTGATTGCACGTCGATTGTGATGACCGGAGGGCTAATTTGATTTTCGCTCCGGTCCTTTATCTTGGCCTCGATGCCGAGGCGGGCATCAGGGGCATTTTGCTGAATCTGCTGGCGTAGGTCGACAGCCGTCTGGTCCAACCCGGCGATGACGCCGCCCCCGGGAGCCCTGTTAGAGGCCTCGGGGACGTCGACCTCGCCGAGGGCCAGGTTCCTGTCCTCTACATTCTTGGAGTTGGCACGAGTTGTTCTCACCATTTTAGATGGGTGTGTTGTGTTTGGTCGAGGGGGAGGGTTTCTTATTTGATTGTTCGAGCTCTCAATGAAAGCCCCCCTGTGAGAGTTAGAGCCTTCGGCCAGGGGGCCGAAGACACCCCTGGTGCGCATCGTGGGCTGCTTGGTGCCTTGGGCGCCGTGATTTGGGCATGTTGTGCTTCTTGGGCCTATTGGGCCTTTATTGAAGTAGTAGGAGTCTGTGGGCCGGGGGTTCCCGGGCCATATACTCTATCACTCTTATTACTTTCTCACGATCAATGAATATTTGATTGATTTAGTTCTCTTCGCTAGAATTATATTCCATCAAAGTTAAAAGCACTTCCTAGTTGGGTTTGCAAACAGAGCCTAAAAGCTGGTAGTGTTTGGTAAAACAAGTGTTTTTTGTGTAATAGAAAAAGTAAAAGCACTTTTGACACGAAAACTGAGAAAAATAAAAATCGGTAATGTTTGATAAAATAAATGTTTTTTTAAACCAAAAGCTGAGACATGTTTTTTTGACATGGTTTAAGATAATTACCCAAATGTCATTAGTTTTTTTTACATCTAAACACTCACACTTGGATTATTAAGCCAAACACTCCGTCCAAACCGGATGTGAGTATTTGCGGAGAATTTAGGCTTTATATATTTTTGAGAGTGGCCAAACCACAGTACATTCTCCAAACCCTAGATGTGCACGGAAGAGAAGTCATATATGGATTCTTCAAAATCACGATTTCTTCCTAGCTTTTCCGAGCCATATGCGGATCCTTCAAAAAGACGATTTGTTCCTAGCTTTTCCGTTCGGTAGTTTTTGATTCACCTGTCTCTAATATCTTTTTTTTCTTAAATGGGTTCGGTTGTTTTCTGCAATCATACTTTTGCATCTTATTCTTCTCCTTCTTAACTCATCATATATTTAACTTTGTATCATATTTATTTATTCAGAGGTCGTTTTTCTTATCTAGAAGTTTTAGGGTTGTTTCAAGTATGTAGTTTCGAATGGTTAATAGTAGTAATATAAATCTAAAAGACTATTTATTTGAAAAGAGAACATTAATATGAAACCCGGAGTACTATATATCCTTTTAATTAACCTTTTGATGTATTGTGCTTGCTCTCTTTATGATCGTTCAATGATTCTGAGATATAAAATCAGAGCTCTTGATGATTTCGTTTCACTGTTTTTAGTTTGTTGTTTTGTATGGTTATATAGTGGACTACGCTGCAGCCTTAGCTATTCCATTCCACATGAGTAAGTCTTATGGAACTAGTTTTTATATCTTCGTAATTAATTCATGAGTATTACATGTTTGGTTGGTCCATGTTACAATAATTGGGGAACAGACAGTCAAACACATTTTCTGGGGTTATATATGTACTTCATATGTCTACTCATATATATACTTGTACACAAACAATGTAGATTAATTGGTGTACACTTGGTAGATGGCTATCTATAAAGGTGAGTGGATATTGTGTGCGTTTGTGATAAGTGAGACAGTCTCTTAATCTGCATTGACTTCACTTGATTATGTGCGTGTGTGTTGTATGGTTTAAGGAGAGGCTGCTGCAGACTGAGTATGGCCAGTGCAATGGCTGGTGCACTAAGCTAGCCTGTTGGGAGGTTTAATGACACCGTTTTTCTTTTTTCTTTTTTTCATAATAGAGCAAACTATATTATGTATTGCTTTGATTGCCTTATTTGAATACTTACTGACAATATAACGGAGGTGTGTAAATATAATGGATGAACAAAGCAGTTTTTTACTTTACTTTGGTGAACCGTGTTTCCCTGCTGATAACTAATCTTCTATGTTGCACCTAGACATCCAATTCCGCCTCCAATTCCGCGTCCAATTCCGGTAGTCGACAAGGATGGAACTGATGTACACCACTATTGCGCTAAAATGGCATTGGAATATTATAACAAGAAAAATGTATGTAACCTTTAATGATTTGAAATAATGCCGTTGGATATTTGTATCATCCGTTTACTTCTTTAGGTTCTATTCTTGTTTGCTTTACATCGTAGCTGTTGGCCTTCAATGTATAATCACCTATCCGTACCGTATTTAATTTGCAGGGGAAGAGGTATGAACTTGTGGATGCTGGGTGTAGTTCTGCCTTTTTAGCTCCTGGCATCTGGTTTCACTGCAACTTCAAGGCTAGGCCATGCAGGAATTCCTGCGAAGATGGGAATGAAAAGACCTCCACCGAGCTCTTTTTTGCTGAGATTCATGATGACTCTAAACTCTGAAGAAATATTGTTAATGCCTGCCGTATTTTAAGAGGTAAAAAAGGCGTTTCAAAGGTTTCAGCAGGCTGGGGTCGGGGGTAGTGTAGAGAAATAGCTATGAGTGCGCAAGCGTTCTTGTCCATATAAATCTCCAGGATGGACTTGTTTTAATTTTGTTCTTTCTTTTCTTTTTGTATTTTTTTCACTGATTTTATCTTCGTACTGAGGTTAGATACTGAGGTCCGGGACGGAATGGGATAACATAGAAAGTAGGAAATGGGATAATTAATCGGCAAACTGAATAGTACAATTTTCATTAAAGCTGCTAAAACACATGGATAATAGTGGACCCGGGAAAGCAAAAAAATGGGTGTTACTGGCAAGGATGAAAAATATTCCCAACAAAAATATGGGAGATCATCTTCTCTTCTCCATCTTTCTCTTCCCTTCTTCATCCTCTTTTTCTCTTCCTTTTTATATCAAAATTTCCATTATTTTCACAAAATCTATTTATCTTAATTCATCTATTTTTATTATTTTTCTATTTTTTTTTCAAATTACATGTATCATTTGGATGTATCATGTACATAGACAATTAAATTTTTTGTTTGTCCAGACAATTTAAATTGATCACACCAACAACTAAAGTTGATCACACACAACTATTGTCTGTGAGTCGCACAACTATTTTTTGTATGATAAATATTGTACGATAAATGTTATCTGTTCACAATAGGAAAATATTTGGCACTGCACGAATATAGATTGATTTGCAAGCCTGTTTCAGTGTTAAGCGGTAGTCAGTGTACTTTTTACACCAAAATTAATGTCTGTGACCCAGACAAAAGTTGAAGTTGTCTAAAGTTGAAGTTGTCTTGCCTGTGGAGTTATCTGTGCTCACAGACAACTCCGTACCAATTGTCTGTGACCGACATATTGTGTACAAGTTGTGTACAACTTGTGTACCCCTAGACCCTAGTATTTCTCGATAAGGATTCTGTATTGAACCTATATTTTCCCGAACTATTTTTCCACTCCTTTTCTGTTTGAGAATAGATCTAGGTTATGGGAGCAAAACTTGTCCAACAATTCGTGGTGTACACCATGGGTTACACCCTCTTTATCTGCCATTCGCACAAACAAAAAAAGTACAAATACAGACACTTTCAACACTTTCGATAAAATTGTCGGTGTGAATAAAATTGGTTTGCTGATCTGCCAGGCTGGCTGCACGAAAATCAATGTTGGTGTGCACAAACATCAGTTGTGTAGACAAAAAAGTGTCGGTGTGAGAAAAATTGGTTTGCAAATTTGTCAGGGGTTGCATGGAAACCAATGCCGGTGTAGAAAAAAGTGTCTGAACTTGTACAATTTTGTCTGTGTTTCGCTGCATTATAACCCTGACTTTTTTAACATTATTTTGTCCGTGTACACAGACACGGAAAGCAAATCGGTGTCAATGTACACACATTTTTTCTCTTGATGATGAAAGTTTATAGAGTGGTACTAGTTTATCATTCCAAACAATATATATCATTATTTAGCACCATACAAACAAAAATCCAGGGGCCGCTTATACTCCGGCGAGTTTCCGGTGAAAATGGTGATGGAAGATGATGATAAAGGCGAGGGAGAGGGAGGAAAAAGTGGGATGGGACTATGGGAGTGAAATAAGAAATGGGGGTATATAGGGTGGTGTACCTTGGGTGTAACTAGTTTAAACTACACATGTTAACTAGTTAACTAGTCTGGGGGGTAATTTACTTTGTCACCGCATGTTTTGATGTGTGCAGGTAAAACTACTGTTGGTTGTCATTTTTGCCACAATGATATTGCTCATCCTACCCATGGATTTCATAGAGGCCTCTACCGTTGCGAACCCCGTGCATTGCGTTCTAATCGGTAATTAACTAAGCTCTTAAAGTAAATAAGATGCTCGGTACTAGAGATAAAAAATATTCATGTAGGTGTTGTACATTTAATTATGCAGCCTAATTGTTAATTATGCTGCCTAATTGTTAATTATGCAGCCTAATTGGCTTTTTTATGTGGTTACAATTATATTTTGTTATTTTACAAAACTATCAAGTTAAATAAGATGCCACATATATTTAAAGCACATATAATCTTTGCTGGAAAAGTTTACGACAATAATCCTAACTAGTTAACTGAGTTCACAAAAGTAAATAAGGAGTAAATGTATTAACTTTTCAATTTAATTTATTTTTCTGCATTCTATAATTACTGAAGCGAATATATATATATATATATATATATATATATATATATATATATATATATATATATATATATATATATATATATCTGTGTGTGTGTGTGTGTGTGTGTTTAAGGATTAAGCCATTAACATTAACATTATCATATTTTACATTTTTACCTAAGTTTATTTCTATCGTAAGTTAAATATAATATTCAACAGTTTTCACAAAATATAGTACAATTATTTGAATGCATACTCATTAAATTCCTTTTTATCATTTATTTAATTTCTTATCAATATTTTATTTATACCATATTAAATTTTAACATACAGTATATTATAATTACTTTCACCTTAGGCAAATTTAATAAATTGATGTCTCTTATAATATGAGAGGACGAGGTATTGGGTTATTATTGAAAAATACGTTTGTATACACATTTACTTTTCTTTGAATATACAAAGCTTCATTATTAATAACTATGATTATTACATTTTTTAAAATATGAATATTACATTTAAACATATTTCTTCTTTAACAATTTAGTATCCCATTCGTTAAAGATAAAACATAATCTGATGAGTATGTGTTCATATAGTTTTACTATATTTTATGAAAAATATGAATTATTAAATAATTTTATAATAGCATTAATTATAACGCAAAAAACAAATGAAAAGGTGTTTGGACCGGACATTTTTTGTTTTTTTAGCCTTAGAAACGGGGACCAATGAAAAAATAGAACGCTGCATGGTCCGGACTGGCGTTTTTTTGTTTTTTCCCTTGGAAATGAGGGTAAATGAAAAAAAAGGAACGACACCGGGTCTGGACCGAGTTTAGAATCGGGACTGGACCGCCCAGGTACCTGGAACCGTCACAGACCCAGATTTAACCGGGTCAGCCTTGAGCCTTTCTTACCAACAGCGGGGACCTGGACAGAGGCTGGGCACCACCCATAATGATGTTGAGTTATAATAAATGAAGATTGTATCATAATCGTTAAATACAAACATGTTGACATATTGGGAGGCACAAAACCCTTTTTGATATCAAGTTATTTCTTAAAATTACTTTAAATCATTTTAACTTCACATATTCTCGTTAGAGTGTGAGTATTCAACTTTTTTATAGTGTCTATAGCTCATTTTTAGTATTTATTTTTGTGTCATGTGGTGACGACATAAATGCGACATCGCCATGGACGTACAAATGCCTTGGCGCCGTGAGTGTTGCCATACGCCAAGGGGCGCTCTGTCGTTGGGGGCAGGGCAGCAGTTGCCCCCACTCAACCCACACCCAACCCCAATATATATATATATATATATATATATATATATATATATATATCATACTCCATTTGTGTGCATGTATCATTGTCTTATGTATAGTCAAATAATATATGTCTATGCGACTGACTTAGCATAGTGATTTACGTAGCCTAGTGGTTGGAGGGTTGCACCCTCTGTTAGTTCGTCTAAGTTCGAATCCCCTGGCTACATAGTGAGTTTTTTTTCCTTTTGAAACTGTTTAATATTTGCCCAAATTTAAGATTCAAATTAATTTTTTTTAAGTAACGACTAATAAATGATACTACCCATGTCCCTTTATATTTAGCCAACTTTGACCTTTTCAGTTAACAATTATAAACATTGATCCATTATTTTAACTAATATATGTATGTATAACTTAATAATTTATACTTTAATGATAATATTTTTAACAAATAACATTTTCATATCATTTTCATATTATCAATATTGCCGTTTATATTTCATATTTTCATATTAATCAGTCAAAGTTTAACATGATTGACTTGAAAAATAGTGTTTGGCTAAATAAAAAGGGACGGAGGGAGTATGTAATTCCATTAACATCCTTTTAACTTAATATTAAAACTTGTTTATTTGTAACCTAAATCACTTATAATTTTATATTTCATCCATTTCTTATGTATTTTTGGTTTTGTATTTAATAAACTATAGAATGTCTAAACCTAAGACCCAAATTAGTTTAAATAATTTGTTTTAATTCAACTAATAAATGATACTACCTCCCTTCCACTAACATTGGAATAAGAGGACATGACACGGTTATTAAGAAAAATATGTTTATGTTGTTGATATTGAATTGATAAATAAGAATAAAGTAAAAGTAATTTAGAGCCACACAAACTTTTACCAAATTTGATATGTGACCATCTTAGTGGGGTTTCTCAAAAAGATAAAATGAGACAATCTTAGCGAGACAGAGAGTGTAATTTCAATCACATCTCTTCTCACTTAATATTAAAACACACTTGTTTATTCATAACTTAAATTAGTTATAAACTTTTTTTGACTAAAGTTATAAACTTATAATTACATATTTCACGTTTCTTATAAAAATATTTTATTTTTTAATAATTGTAAATTTTTTAACTAATATTTATTTCCTTAAAAATGTGTGAATTTGCTACGTAAGTGTAAATTTGCACTCACTAGCCGAATTTTTTGGATATTTTCATAATAAGACAAATGTGGTGGCACTTGATATTTTGTTGGTAATTTGCGAAACTATTAACTTAAATAATACACTATTTGATGAATGAATATGTATGCATGGATGCATGTATGCATGTACAATTTATTATGTAATCTTATTCAGTTTTTGACAAATGGGGATTTACACCAGCTGGCCTGTCAGTTCAAGTTTGGTGGATAGTGCTGCCTTCCGTCCTGCTGCGATGTCGTAGCTAGTAAGAAAATTTCTTGAATGTACTTTCTATTAACCCAAATGCATCTTGAGATTACGCCATCTATCTACTTCCATCTCCTGATAACAACACCTCTAATTCTTCCGTTGTAATCTGCCTTTTGTAGGTGGACGCTATCGTTTTCTTTTAAATTTGGAAAATTATCAATGACCTCCTTCCAGGTTTGATACATTATCGCTCACACCTCCACTATAAAAGTTGTACTCTCACCCCCTCCCTATTCTTTGATGATGGTTAGTAACTTTCAATTTTCGTTTAGAGAAAATTATGGACATGGTTTCTTAACTTTTGATTGTGTCCCGCTATTAATGTTGTAACTTTTATGCAAACACATATTTGATGGGATAATTAATAAATTTGTGTATATTTAAGACCTTTCCACTTGAAATTGAACCTAATAAAACAAAAAAGATCAAAACTGATGAATTGATTTTTTTGAATAAAATTACAACATTGAAAGTGAACACAATCAAAAGTTATGAAACTAAATACTTTGTATATAGTTTTCTCTAAGTATAAATTAGAAGTTACTTAACTATCATTAAAAGATAGAGTGGGGTAAAGAGTACATTTTTTATAGTGCAGAGGTGTGTGTTGAAATACATTAAATCTCATGGGAGGTCAATGATAAATTTTCTTTTCATTTTGTTACCTGGGTGCATGTTGATGATGTCAATCACTTATTTAGTGGTTCTTGTCCTAAAATGAAATTAGAGAGATATTAAATGATAGAAGTGTAGCTCAATAGGTGGGAAGAGTCTGTCATAAAGGAAAAGTCTTGGGTTCAATTCCAAGGGCTTGGGTTCTATATTGTGAGTTTGACTTGGGGTACACACTTTTTGGTGTACACACTTTTTACACATGTCTGTGTAAGGTTTTTTTTATGTCTGTACAGACATAACGTATCGTTTGGGGTGGGAGGTTACTAAAAAAAATTCCTATAAATACCTACTCATTTTATACATTTTTTTCACACTATTCTACCTCTACTCACATTCTACTCTCAATTCTCAATTTCTGAATCACTAATTCTACTTTATTCACTTTTACACTTTCATCTTTTATGATTCATTTATTCTCATATTATAATTATATTTATATACTTATTTAGTATTACACAATAATACTATATAAATATATATAATTTCTATTTCTACGAACGTCCTCAAAAGGCCCACGAGAACTTCCTACGAACGTCCTGTTGGAAACGCGTTGTGTATGTGGAACGGAAATGTGTGTGTGTGTGTGGACTCGCAGGAGAGAAATAAAAACGAATCTGGATCGTTGGATTGTATTATGTGGAACGGAAATGTGCATTTGATGAAATTGAAATGTGTATTACATGATACTGAAATGTGCAGAATAAAAATTTAAAACTCAATTGTGCATTAAGTGAAACTGAAATATGCGGAATAAAATGTACAAAAATAAAATCACTCGCTCTATCGAACCATCAGCACGCTCCTGATTGCTTGACACCTCAACGAACTCATGTGGACACTCCTCAGGATCAAACTGGTACTTGCCTACAGGAAAATTCGTTGGAATCGTACCTTTTATTCTGCACATTTCAGTTTCACCTAGTGCACATTTCAATTTCACCTAATGCACAATTCAACTTCACTTAATGACATTGTATCACACGCTTTGTGTTGCGCATTTCAATTTCACCTAATGCACATTACACTTTCATCCAATGCACATTGATTTTCACTTAAAGCAAATCTAACGGTCCAGATTCTTCTCATTTCTCTCCTAAGATCATGTTCTTATTTGAACCAAAACCTATATATACATATATATGATGGAGTTTAATCCAACTACGAGAGCTAAATCTACAGAAGCATATGAAAATATGGCAGCGTATGGCAGTGTCTTATTGATCAGTGTTTTGATCCCCTTTTAGGAAGTTTACAAGTCATATTTATAGGCTAAGGAACTAGTGTTTCAAAAGGAAACTGATACAATAAATGTTATTAGTTACACATTAGTTCGAATAGGACTTTCGTAAGGTCTTGGTCGTTGTGCAATGATTGTTCCTTTACTCCTACGTTTCTACCGTTAACTCCTGCCAGCTGCCGATGTAAAGATAGCATGCCACGTCAGCCCTAGGAATATTCCAACCTCACTAGAACTCCGACTAGGCTCAATGTCTGCTTCCCAGCCTGGCCTGGTTGTGGGTTCCTCTCGTGGGCTTAATTCCTAGTTAGGCCCAGTGGTTATCTAACATTAATCCCGTTTCAGGGCTAATCACGTAAGGGCTTGATCCCGTTGTGGGCTTTGTCCCATCAATTAGGCTAACCCCGTGGAGGGTTGGTCCCGTTATGGGTTGGGTTATGTAATTGGGTCATGGTCAGAATCCATGGCACCATCACGAGCCCCCAACTCTCTAAAATCAGCAAGGCTGGATTTTAGGAGAGTAATTTGGAACGAACAATTTCAAATTTGGAATCTTTTGGGCGAATTGTAGCGCCACTTGCCTTAAGTGCGCCCGACTTGACATAGGCTTGCAACCCGGAACAGTTCCGGATCCGACTTACCATATTCAGCTCTCGAGTGTTATCGTTGCGGTTCCCAAGCAGTTTTCAAGCCCTAATTTTTTTGGCTATTTAAACGTTTTTCATTCTTCACTATGCTCTTTCGCAATCTTCCCTCTTGCTTTGGCATTCGTCTTCTTGGTTGGGAGCTTTAGGCCGCGAAACCCTTTTTCTCCGTCTTCAAGCTTCATCAGGTTAGTTTCCCTGATGTCTTCTTCGAGTTCTGTTCCTCTGCACCATGTATTCCCCGAGGCAAGGGCCATCTCCAACCGGCCCCGCATTCCGGTGGACCCGGATGGGAGGGAAACTCACTTCTCCCTCTCCTGCGAGTACGCCCGGCAGCTCCCACCCGTCAGGAGCGGACCCAGGAAATTCATCGTGGGGGCGGTAATTTAAACAAAAAAATTAGGCGCTTGTTGGGATATTGATCCAGAGGCCCAATACCCGGATCAAGAAGGCCCAAGATACCCGGCCCAAACGACGAGCCAATCACTCTATGATGAGTAGATCCAGTGAAGAATTCATGCCGAACGAGATTCGGCCCAAGAAAGGGTTGGCCCAGTAAGAAGGTATACTGAACGGAGTTCGGGCTATATATCATACTTGGGCCAATTTGACATCGTCTTCAGCATGGTCCAACATCCCGTTCGAGCAACGGACAACCGACAAGTGGCCAGGTGCAATTAATGCCAGATTGTGACATCAGCAAGTGGAAACGTGGGTGATCAAGTCAGTGGAACAATAGCCAATCAGCATAGAGCAGCCCATGCTCTCCATTAGTATAAATAGAATGTTTAAAATCATTGTAAGGGTTAGCATTTCAATACTCAGGCTCTAGAATAGCATTATTGCTCTTATTTCTTGTATTAAAGCATTGTTTCCGACCTACCGATCGGGAATTTCCTTGTAATCAGACTGGTTAATTAATACAAGTGAGCTGTTGAGCATTAGTGAGCTCATATTTTATATTTGGTTATACACTTTGATTCTGTACCATTCCTGATATATCCAAAGTTCGTGTTGGGCTTTCGGATCTACGGGATTTACCTTCAACATTGGCACCGTTTGTGGGAAACTGTTCAAAAAGTTTCACATTCAAATCATCCTAAAAACCACAATTTTCGAAAATGGTCAGAATCAGTTCCTATCACACAAACGACGGTTCACACCGTCACGAAAGGAGTCACACCCCGGGGAATCAAACCCCTCAGGGACAATCCAGCCGAGGATCGTATCCTCGTTTTGATGGGGATTTTGTGATTCCTGGATCTCTGAGAAGAAATCCTCAGGCCATGCGAGATATGGCCCAGGTCATGCAACATATGGTAAACGAGGAGGAAGGAGGGTCCAACTTTACAGGGGAGACTCCACGCACGGAAACAACCACAGCGTCATCCCGTTCGCATGCCCATCGGGATAATCGCCGTAGCGCCCCACCAACAGCGCATCATAGTCCCAGTGATCGAACCCCGATCGGATCACAAGCCAGGGGACCAACTCCTATTGGTCATCATTTCCAGTATGCCGAACGGGATAATACAAGGGCCGCTCAACGGCATTGGGACCGGGAGTATACGGACATGAGGGCTCCACCACCGCCCCCTTTTACGGCCCAGGAGGAGGAAATGGCTGAGATGAGAGGCAGATGAACGAGATGCGAGATCAGATGAACATGGTGCCTGTACAACCTGCCCCAGTTCAGCTCGGAAATACTTCCCCTTTCACCAGGGAAATCATGTATGCGGACATCCAAGGGGTGCCGAACCACCGACCGATCAAATCTATGACGGAGTGGGAGATCCCCATGTGCATTTGAGGAGTTACCAAGGGGGACTCATGCTACTAGGAGCACCCGAGGCTGCTATTTGCCGGTTGTTTTTTAGTACGCTCAGAGGGCCCGCCCAGGAGTGGTTCGGGACAATGCAACCCGGGTCAATCAACAGTTTCGCCGAATTATCGACGTTATTCTTGGCCCAATTTGCTTCCAGTGCCAATCTGAAACGGCATTTCAGCTACCTGACCAGTGTGAAGCAAAACTCCAAGGAGTCCCTCAATCAATTCTTGAAAAGATGGAGGGACGAAACTCTGACAGTGGGAAATATGACGGATGATACCGCCATCACCCTATTCACGAATGTTCTCCGAACGGGGGAATTATACAAGGATTTGAAGACAAATCCAGGTACAACATATGCCGAGGTATTAGACAGAGCTCGCAAGCATGCTGCCCTAGAAGAGGAGATAATGATCAGGGATAAGGTCGTTGCCCCTGCTGCCCCAATCAGAATGGTCGATCGGCTGGGTCCTAGCCCAGTGGCCGCTATACCTCCCAAGCAAGGGAGATTTGCCCCCTGGTCCTATCAGTAGCGACCATTTATCAGCACGAGAGGGACAATATTCCCCCCAGACTGATTCTTCACAATTTATGGGAGCAGACGACTCTGCTTTTTGTAAATATCATAACAGGAAGGGTCATGCCACCAACGCCTGTAGGGTCCTACAAACGGCTATTGAGGATTTGATCTGATGGGGTCATCTGGGTAAATATGTGAATAAGGATCCAAATGCTGTGGGCACGTTGAAACCGATCAGGAAACCTAATAGCTGGCGACGGGATGCCCAACGTGATGCCCAGCCTCAAAATGACGTATATATTCCCCCCAGGGATGAACCAGAGGGCTCGGGAGGCCCCGGAAAGAAACCTCGAATGGAGGTCAAGGTTATATTTGGGGGCGGGTAGACAGGGAATTCGAACGGCGAACGGAAAAGGTTTGAACGAAGTCTCTATGTGGGATCCATCTCCACTCCCCCCAGAAGAAAGGAAGGACAGACCCGATCACGTTCGGGCCAGCTGATTTACCCAACTCTCCAAGCCCGCACAGGGATGAATTGGTGGTGAGCATGTGCATTGACAATGCTTTGATCCGCCGAGTATTGATCGATACCGGGAGCAGTGTGAATGTATTGTATCGAGAAAATGGGTCTACAAAGAAGTTAACTGACCCACCTAAGGACCCCACTGGCAAGTTTCACCGGTAATTGTATTGAGGCTGAGGGGACCATCCAATTGATGGTTGAAATTGGGGATGAAACGCACAAAGCATCACTCCGAATGACTTTCGTGGTGGTGGATATAAAATGTGCCCACAATGCCATATTGGGCCGACCGGGATTGGAAGCTTTGGAGGCAATAGCCTCTGTCCGCCACTCATGCATCAAATTCCCCACTGACACCGGGGTTGGGGTGACCAGAACTGATCCGACGACAGCCCGGACATGTTACCGAGAGGCCCTAAAATAGACGAACACTCGTGGAATGCGGGTTAACACAATTGAGGCGGAGACCCACCGAACGGAGTTCGAGGCACACCCAGAACCCGCCACTCTCCTCGAACAAATCGACCT